TTGTCCAAATTTCGACAGGTAGGTGTCGAAATTTGGTTTTTTTTTTTTTTTTTTTTTTTTTTTTTTCTTTTTCGACACGTTGGTGTCGAAAATTGACCAAAAATCGACCTGTATGTGTCGAAAATTGCCGACGGGTTTCAAAAAAAAAAACTTCAAAATCGACTTCGAAGCTCAAAAAAGACATCGATACTTACCTTAATGGCTTCTCTTTCCACATATACTACCATATTATTGTCTTATAACTCCATTTTATAAGTTTTGTGAGGTTTTGATTTTTTGAATTTGGAGATGTTTTGGAGGATTTAAGAAGATGAAAAAGATAGGGTTTAATTGGGTTGTCGCGGCAGTTACGAGCACGTACGGTGGCGTTCGGCGGCGGCGGCGTCGGCGGCGGCGGCGGCGGCGGCGGCGGCGGCGGCGGCGGCGGTCAGGGTTGGAGAGGAGAAGAAATGGTGGAGGTTTTTTTTTTAACAACAAAGGGTTTTTTTCTTTTTTTTTTATTTGGTTTTTGAATAGGTAATTTCTAATAAAATTTGATATAATTGATATTTTGTATGAAAGGGTGTTTTTGTAATTTTCTTTTTATTTTGGTTTTAAAGTAAGAAAAAACTTATAAATATGTACTCAATTGTGGTTTTCAACTAGGTAGTATTCAACTAAGCAAAAATTAGTATTCAAAATAGTTGCCCCCCTTCTTTTAAATGTCATGGGTTCGTTTAATTTTAATTATTTTTATAAAATTTTGGAGTTGAATCTTTTATCCAAACAAGTATTTAACTTTTTTTGAATTAAAATTCTCAAAAATCAAGAAAACTAGATTCCACCCACAATACAATTACAAGCAATCTAGAGATTGTTATGAGAATATGATGAGACAATCTAGAAAAATATTATTATTATTATTATTATTATTATTATTATTATTATTATTATTATTATTATTAAAAAATGGTTACTAAAAAGAAAAAAAAAATCAATACCAATTTATGATTCCTAAATCTCCATATAATTATTACTCCACTTAGTCCTTGTTTGGTTGCAAAAATAAAATTAGCTAAAGATAAAATTAAATATTATAACAAAACTCAATTATAATTTTGCATCTTCGACAATCCAATAAAAAAACATGTCTGGTAACATAATATTTACAAGTCGACCCGACAGTTATTTGGAATACTAAAATTCAAACAAAGTCTAATTATTTCATCAATCATCGCTAATGTGAATCTCCTCAACAAAAAAAAAACATTAATTATTATTAACCAAAAAAAAAAAAGAAAAAGAAAAAAGGGAACAACCTTAAATAAGTGGGGCCCAATGAAAATCTGCAGAGAGGTGGGACCCACAGAAAAAAAAGGAAGATGCCAGCTAATGAAGAAACGTGGGCGATGAAAAAACTGAAAGGGGGGAATTTCCCTCCAAACAGAGCTTTAGACAAGAAAGGAAACCAAATTCCCAGTGTGATTTGGAGTCGACTCAGATATTATTATGGCCTGGAAACCGCTCTCTTTGGATTCTTTCTTTCCTCCTTAAAAACCCTTTCTCTCTCTCTCCTCTCTCTCTCTCTCTCTCTATTTATTTTCTCTTCCGCCTCTCCTACACAAATCGCCCCCCTTTTACCCACGCCTCTTTTCTTCTCTCTTCTGCAAAACCCCTCACCCAAAAAAAAGTATAAATAAATAAAAAAGATTATTCTTTTACAGAAGAATAATCTTTGTTGTTTCAACTTCTTCTTTCTCTCTGTGAAAAATTCTTAAGAGGTATAACTTTTTTTTTAAGTACAACCCAGTTCTTGTTTTTTCGATTTTTCATGGGTGTTGGTTATATTCGTTTGATGTACATGCATATATATGAAGTTTGCTTTACCAAAGATTTCAACTTTTTTACTTTTATTTATGTATGAATGAATTCGCTGGTTTATTTTTGTTTCTGGGGTTTTGTTTTGTTTCGTTTGTTTCCGGGTAATGGATCGGGTTTTCGGGTTCTTTTTCGGTGTTCTGTTTTATGTTTCTTGATTGTTGAATCTGCATTGCCTGAATTCTTTCCCCTTAGAAAGGGGTTCTTTATTCTCGAGAAAAATTGGGTTGATGTTTGTGTCTTTGTTTCTGAATTTAATCTCCCTTTTTTATTCGGTTAATCATTGGATTTTGACCTTCCATTGACGATCCTTGTTTTTTGGGATTAAAAGTTGAATCTTTTTCCCTGGAATTCCATAACTATTTAGGCCTCGTTTGGTTGGGGAGAATTAGCCATGATTAACTAAATAATGAGACTTTGATTGATGTTTGGTATCCCTAATAACTTGCCGGGTCGACCCGCAAATATTTTAGTCATGTTTTTTTTTTTAAAATTGGGTTTCATTAGATTATTTAATTTTATCTTGGCAACCAAACGAGGCCTTAAACTTGTTTATTAGCCAAAGACTTCTTTCTGGCTTATATTTAATTATGAATTGGTTTATGTCTTAATCGTTGCTCGCTGTTTTGTTGGATTCACTTGTTATGTTGTTTGTCATGCGCATAAATTTTCTGCTTTCATCATATTATTCAGTCAACATTATAGAGTATGCGTTGTTTCTTCGATTTATGTGGCTCTCGTTTCTGTTTTGAGGTTTCCTATGTCGTAGTCTCTTTCGGTGGCTGTAAATCTTTTTAAAAACAAACAGTTTCGATTTGAAAGCATCAAATGCCTAATTAGGACATGAATATTTAACTTGCCATCCTCGATAGTTTTACTTTATAAATACCACATTTCTTCGGTTTTAACAGATATGGCAGATGCAATCAATACTGAAGTCGTGGCGGAGGCTTTCATCATGCAGTATTATGCAATCCTCCATCAGTCTCCCGACAATGTGCACAAGTTTTACCAGGAGGAAAGCGTACTAAGCTGGCCGTCGTCCGACGGTGCTGTGACACCTGTCACAACTTTTTCCGTAAGTATCACTATTATATATAAATTTTTTCAGTCCTTCTCTAAATAGACGACAGCAGCGCTGATTAATCTTTTGATGCAGGGGATTCAGGAAAAGATCATGTCCTCCGATTGCAAGGGTTGCTCCGCCGAGGTCAAAACGGTCGATTCACAAGATTCTGTCGATGGGGGAATCATCGTGGCAGTAACTGGCTCTCTGAACAGGGCCGATGATTCGAAAACAAGCTTCAGCCAAACCTTCTTCTTGGCCAAAATCGAGACTGGGTTCTTCGTGTTGAACGATATTCTTCGGTTTTTCAACCATGCTCCTTCAGTGGAGAGTGCCGGTGAGAAAACCTCACACCCCTTTTGTTATCGGATTAATATATTATTTTTTAGTGTTTTTTTTTTTTAATTATGGTTTTATTCGGTTCTTCAATACCAAAGCCTGTGTCGAAAATGGAAAAGTCGAAGAAGTGGTTATTCCTGTCTCGAAAGACACTGTCGGAAAAGATGCTCCGAAAAGTGAAAAAGCTCCTTCTGTTGCTGCACCTGCTTCTACTACTACCCCCAAGATTTCCTATGCTTCGATGGTGCGTTATTATATATGTATATATATGTATATCTATAAGTAAGAATCGTATTCGTGTTAACGAGAAACAATGTGCTTAAAAAAAGATTCGATTTTTGATACAGGTGGCGAAAGAGGCTCGTCCAGTTTCTCCTAAAAAAGCTGTAACAGTTGCTTCAACCGTTAATAACAAGCAACAAGTTGATGGTGGACTAAAGGTAGCATCGACTCCTAGCGGTGATGTGCCTAAAGCACCAGCTCCGTCGAACAAACCTAATCCTAAATCACCACCACCGCAGCCACGTGGCAACTATGTACCCAACACTGGTGCTTATCCCGAAGGTAATCGTTTTTTAATTTTTTTTAATATGACATCACTAGCGAAGAGATGTAAGAGTTTATCGAACTAATTCGACGATTATTGCAGGTAGAGGGATATACATAGGACGATTGCCTTACGACATCACTAAAGAAGGAGTTGTCGAAGTTGTCAAGCAATTTGGGCCGGTTAGACGAAATGCCGAGACTGTCCAGATTAGGAGGCATGAGGTTTGTGCTTTTTTCCGATTCAACATTATATAATATATTTCGTTTTTAATCTTTTCAATTTATTTATTACGACCTTGTTTTTTATTTTCTCTGACTCGATTCGGTGTCTTTTGCCAGGATGGTTTTTGTTGTGGTTTTGTGGAATTCGAATCTGCGGATTCTGCACGTCGTGCAGTGGAGGTACTTAAACAAACTAAGCTCTTTTCACTTAAACAAAATAAGCTTGTTTCGTTAAAATTTTTGTAACTAATTTTTTTTTTTTTTTCAGGCTCATCACATTAAATTTGGCGATAAAGAAGCCTACATTACTTACAAAAGGTCTTCGGCTCGTGGTAAGTGGACTCGTGTTTTTTTTTTTTTCTTCTTCGGATCGTGCATATCTAATAAATACCGCCTTATTAACGAACGACTGCAATAAAAAAAAATTGAAGGTGGAACGGAACCAAAGATTTGTGACAATGACTAATGAATTGATTTGTGCAGGTAATAATAACAATAATAACAATGCTGGTAGAGCAAGGTCTCCAACAAGGGCTACTGGTGGTTTAAGTAACGGGGGCCAAAACGGGGGTGATCAGAATAAGGGGGGCCAAGTGAGGGATCCTCGCCAGAGAAAGTCTCCGGTTGGCGGCAGAAGGTGGCAGAGCCGAGATCGCTCGGATTGATCATCTAAATATGCTGCCCTGCCTGCATTAACATTAATCAATTACCTGAGGAATTATATTTTTTTTGCCTGTGTTGAAAACACATTTTTTTTAGCTGAATTGAGTCGGCCCATTAAAACTTTTTTTTTTTTTTTTTTTTTTTTATTAATTTTTTTTGTTTTCATCAATTTGATGGTGACTTAAGATTTAGGTTAAATGAAATTTACCTCCTTGTTATTTTTTAATTATGAGTTCTACTTCCCTCATTATCATTGTTATTTATTGTAGGGTTCATTGTTAAAGATTGTTTTTAAATAGGAGTTTGGGTGGAAATTGGAATGTAATTTTCCTATTTCGTCAGTTTTTTTTCCTGGAACAATATATGTAATTTTGAATTTCGGTAATTCTGATTTCCGATTTTTCCAAATTTTTGTGATTGGAATTGGGATAAATGAGAGTTTCACAAAAGATTAGTTAAACTCAAATTTCTGTATCTTTTTCAATTTTTATCCACATTTAAAAAAAACAAAAAAAAAAAAAGATCAAAAAAGATTTAATGGTGCAAGTTGACACTAAATCCTAAATTCCCCAAAAGGTAGACCCCACAGTCACAAATTTCTTCTACCACGTTTGTACTAAAATCTTACACAAATCTTTTCTAAATCCTTTTGTCTCAATCACTTCGATGACGTGTCCTCTCTCCAATTCATCCCAATAACAACTTTTTTTCTTTCTTCCCTTTATATCCTTTTCACTCTTCTTTTATTTCTTTCTTATTTTTCTACCCCTCTTTTTATTATTCATCATAAAGTGCCCCCAAATATAACACCATAATCTATTTCACTTTTTGCCCACATTTTGTCCCTAATTCACCACGAATATAACTTCATTTTTCCTTTTTTATTACATGTATATTGTGTTCATTTTATTCCTTTTGCATCTCAATCCACTTGTACTTGCGCAAAAAAAAAAGTGAAATTTCTCGTTCTCAGTGCTCTTATCCATTGACTTGACGGGTTTTGATGGGAAAAAATGTAAATTATGGTGACTCAACGGTCCGTTAGCGGATCTGAGTTTGTTGCCCAAAAGTAACCAATCTTCATTGTAGTTGAAATTTTCACACTGCGGCTGCTAATACTCGTTCTTGGGACATTGCATCAACTTGGCACCCACGAAACCAATTGAGCTATAACCGAGCTCAATCCACTTGTACTTAATCTCAAAGTTATATGTTGATAGGAACTAGTTACAAAAACGAGCCTAATTATTCTGACTCCATTCCATAATATTTGTCACTTTTGCACATAAAAAGAATCTGTTACATATTATCTGTCCCTTAATTTATAATTCAAACGCTACTTTAGTTACATAATATTCAATTCCGCCACTATTAACTCTCCAACCCTAAAGTAGACAATACACATTTTTCTAAAATCAAGTCATATTTATTGAGTTTCTTTGTATAAAGGTGAAACTCGACCTATAATTAGGAACAAAGAGAGTACTATGTATATAAATAATTTATTTCGTTATTGACCGTTTTAAAAATAAATTATCATATTAATTTTTCATTTTAAGTGAATTATTTGGTAGAGAAGCTAAATTTTAAAAAAAAGAAAAAAAAAAAAAAAAAGAAAAAAAAAGGACTTTGATGAAGTGATGATTGGAATTCCGATCCATTATGTCATACCAGCTACAGCTTGACAGCTAGGCTATAAAATAAATATGGATAACCCTATTGCTTTATCAATGACGTGGCCCCATCTCTATTTTTAGGCTATTTCTCATCAATTAAATTTTCTCATTTTGGGTTTTAATTAATAAATTATTTGTCCAACCAAAAAAGCTACTATAGGACTATACTACCCCTTTTTGTTGCATTTTGCTACACGTGTCCCTTCCAAACACCAAAATCATAACCTTTTATTGCTAGGTCAAATCATATTGTATATGTGCAAGTGTGACATTATTATTAACCTCAATAAATCAAAGAGATTAGATGACATGTTACTTAAATTTGTAGCCTCAATAAATCATGTGTTGGGTTTGCATTTGCTTGTTGTTTTACTTTGGTGGAGGAGTTTAAAAATGTAGTGTTTTAAATTAATTATATATTTTCCAAAAAATAAAAAATGGATGAGAAATTAAAAATATTAGGTGAATTAGGTGAATTTTAAGAATTTGTAAAAATGACCTCTTTTTATAGTTAGAATCGACCCTGATTAGGTGACTGTGAATTGAGTGTACTAAAATAATTGAATAAACCAACTATGCCATATAAATATCGTGAAATCAAAAACTTTTACTTCAAATCAAATCTTTCCATCCAAATACAAATACAGCTCTGATTTGATACTATGTTGAGATCCTGTGTTTGTCTAATTGATGATGATATATAGTTTATGCAGCATTGTGATTAATTCATCACTTATTTTAGTATTAAAAGAATAACTCAATCACGTGGATGGCAAAAAAAAAAAAAGAAAAAAAAGAATTAAATGATTAATTAAAATTGTGGCAATTAGACACAAATGGGCTACGTAAGACTTACTAATATGATAATTACCATGGCCTCAACTACCTATCCTAGTTGCTACCTAGGCTTCTCGAAAGAAATTTTGTTCCTTCAAAGTCTTTAATACATTATTATAAAGTTTAAAAAATATTATAATTTACTCAATAATGAAACATCATAATCACTAGTTGTTCCTCAATAGTATATGTCTACTTATTAGATATGTTTGCTTGTGCCTAGGGGTGGAAATTTGAATGGAATTTTCGAATTCCGCTAATTCCGATCCAAAAATATCTGAATTTGGAACCGTATTTTTCAATTCGATTTCCGAAATTCCGATTTTCGATTATTCCGAAATTATTTGGAATGGAAATTGGAATAGTATATAAAATTATCGAGAATTCCGATTTTCGATCCGATTTTAATTCCGAATATTTCTATGGTTTTTGAAAATATATAATATAATTTTATGATATATTTGTAATTCGATAATATAACTTATGTTATATTTTATATGAAAAAAATAAATATCAAAGGTACATGTAAATTAAAACCTTAGAAAAGATTAATGGATATAAAAAACTTTGTGTTGCATTGTTTCTTTATAAAAAAATATATGTTTCAATTTGTTGTTACGACATGTGTTTTTATTCATTGGGTTTTGTCGAACTCACTTTTAGATTTTCTTGCATTTTCATGCAATTTTAAAAAAAAAATAGAAAAAATAAACTGAAAATTTCGAGGAATCCGAATTTGGAACAAAATATTATAAACTAATGGAATTTCTGAAATTCCGCCGATTCCGAGGCATTCCGAAATCGGAATGAATATTTGAATTCCGATTTTTTTGGAACAGAAATTGGAACACATTTTTTACTTTGGAAAAAAATTGAAAATTTTCTGAAAAAGTCATTTCCGAACTATTCCGTCCGATTTCCACCATTACTTGTGCCGGTCTAATGGGCCTATAACTTCTTAACTTATTGGGCCATGAACCCAATATTGAAGACCATTACAATCGAGGACAAATCACTTTCAAATAAGGTTTGGGCCCGATAATTATAATCAAGTAACTTCAGCCTAACCAACTCGGTATACATAAAGATTACAATTCATTTGTTAAGGTACATTTAATATTCGAATAAGACAACTGCTCGTATTCTCTCTACGACTTTTATAATCCACACACCTGACTTGAGCGTCGAAGGGGTTTCCGCCGAATTAACTCCCGCCCTAGTTTACGTGTTCTTTGATCGAAGGTATCTCAGGCTCATCAAACTCGTGAGCCAATGATCCATTTCGCTCTTCTAGCTCATCATACTTCAACTACATCAGGTAATCTAATTCTAGCATCTTTGATATGTTTTTTCAATTAACCGATTCCCTTAAAAATGCTAAATATTTTTTTTCCAAAATATCGTATTCATATTCATATGCATTTTTTAGGAATTCGATCAATTACTTATACACTTGAAACTGAAATAGATAACCTAGTGATTGAAACAAGTCAGTATGTGTCAATTGATCCATATTCGATTCCCTTTACTAACGGTCACCATGTGGAGTTTCTTGCACATTTCAAAACACATATCAATTTTTTAATTTTTTTTGAAATTCGACTGTAACGATACGTGTTCGATTTCGGGCAAAATCGAACGGTATCGGTCATACTTGTAGATCTAGAATTAAACAATATAGTTGGATGAGTGGTGAGTGGGCACTTGAATTATTAAATTTGGTGAAGGGAGCGAAACAAGACAACGTTGGCGGGTTGACGAGGCTGACTCATTAATAAACACGTGGCATCTCCTTATTGATCCCATAACTACTAGACACCTGTCGGTTACCGCCTGCTGCGTTGCGCGGCGGACACGCGTCGCTTCTTTGGATAAAGGGCCATTCTCTCTCTCTCTCTCTCTCTCTTTCTCTCTCTCTCTCTCTCTCTCTTATTCAGCACCTTTGTGCTATCATGGACCCGACTTCACCCTATTCCTGTGCACCCCCATCCACCCACAACTTTTCGTTGACTTTTTATCAGACTAGGAATATTTTGATTAAAAATAATTGGATAGTATTTATTTTATGAAATATTTGAATTAGTGATAAACTTAAAAGTGATTAAAATCTAACTTTCTCATATAACATAAATTTTAGCATCAAAAAGAAAATTATTGATCATGTCATAATTATTATCAAATTGAAAATATTGTAGTTTATTTATAAGCACATGTCTGAAGTTGTATTGTATATTCATTGGCAAGTTGTATAATAAAATTTTAATTTAGATAAAATATTAAATAGAAAAAGGAAAAGAAGAAAAATATTCAGTTAAATTTATTTTTGAGTTAAAGCACAATCCGCAATGAAAACAAACAGTATTCCCTAAATGTGATTCAACATTACAATGAATATATTCCCTTCAAGAATTCGGATTGTCTTTCAATATCAAAGGTTATCGTTTTCCACGGATTTGTGTCGTAGCTTCCTTTCAACCAACGCTTTTGTGTTATTGGTAATTGCTAATTCGCATTTTTTGTATTGATATTGGTGAAGTGCAGTAATTTACTCAGCGATTGAAATGCGATTTTGAAGTGTTAGAAGCAACAAATATGCATTCTATTGATAATAGTTTGCTGTTTATTCCTTATTACCTTACTCACGTGTTTGTTATGGTATAATTCCATTGGAATATGTAATCCGTGCAACGCACGGGTACAATTACTAGTTAACTAAAATTGAGGATAATTAAATTTATATATTTATTCAATAATATTCATATTGTTTTCTTGCATTTGATATTTGGATAATTCATAATTGTCAAATATCTAATTCTACAAAGACATATCACACTTTTCCAATGAAGTAAGAATGTTGGAGTTGGACCATTTCATTCTTTTGGAATGAATCATTGACTTTTAGGTGTACTCCCATAAAAATCATGATAATAATGAACCCTAGAATCAAAGGCGGGTGTAAAAGTGCACCCCACACGAGCCCATGAGCTCGACCACAGGGTAGCAGTACCCCCATATTACTAACACTTTCTATTAGAACACTTTCGTTAGGGACACCACCAAAAAGGGCCAATTCAGTCAGACCCACGTGTCGATATCCTCTCTCTCTTACTTCTGACACTTGTTCTTTTCCACTAATACCCCTCCCTCTACTCCCACCAATTCGCTCCCATCAAGGTTATTTTCGTCATTTCATATCCCCCACCACCCACCCCCCCTCCCAGGCTCCACCGTCTTCTTTTCCTCTTCTGTTTGGTTTTTGCTTCACACACACACACACACACACACAAGACAGGCCATCACACGCTCTCTCTCTCTCTCTCTCTCTCCTTTGCTTCTCTCTCCTTTTTCTATTTTGGGCCAATTTTATTGATTTCTATTGAAATATTTCCCATTTAGGACACAGCCAATTTTTTTTTTCTCTTGCCCAGCTCTAATTGTTTTTCGATTTTTTGATTTTAGCCTTCTTAATCTTGGTGCTTCCTCTTCCTCCATCTGTTTTAAAAATTTTGTTGCAAGAATCTGTGGATTTCCCGAAAATAAAAATCCAATCTTGGGACCAATTATTTCATACCTCTGTAATATGCAGTTAAAAATCAGATTCTTGCATCTGGGCTTGTCTGAATCAGATCATGGCGTGCTCCAACAACAAGCACACACACACCGCTGCAAGTTGAGTTAAGGCCACACTTACCTACAGTAAGCACTCTTTTTCTATGGGGGATGGTGAAGGCAGCAAGAACATTTCAAGAACACCGGGAATGGAGAATCTCTCCTTGGGCATTTCGTCGAACATGTCGTCTGCGTCAAGGGACCTGCTGAAGAGATTCATGGGCGTCGCTGCCGTCAAAGTGGAGGCGGCGGAGGACGACGAGGAGGAAGGAATCGAGTTGAATCTCGGGCTATCCTTGGGGGGGAGATTCGGTGTCGACAAGTACACGAAACTGTCGAGATCCTCCTCCATAGCTAGCTGCTTGCCGGTGGTTCGGGACGACAGCGATGCGGCGGCGGCGGCGCCGCCGCCCGCGGCGGCGTACGCGGGTTTGTCGAGAAGCTCGTCGCTGCCGGTGGAGACGGAGGAGGAGTGGCGGAAGAGGAAGGAGCTGCAGACGCTGAGGAGGATGGAGGCGAAGCGGAGGCGGTCGGAGAAACAGAGGAATTCGAAGAGTTCCGATAAAGAAGGCGGAAGCTTGAGTTTGGAGGAGAAGAAGGAAATTGAGATGAATTTGAGGGGTAGGTTGGAGAGAGAGAAGTCTTCTTCTCTCTCATCTGTGAAGCGACCCGGTTCGTCGTCTGGCGGGTCGCAATTCGGGTCGTGGGCCGCGGCTGCTGCTGCGGCTAATCAGGCCATTATCAGAAGTGGGATTGATGCGGCAATGGCGAAAGGGAAGGGTAGTTGTGTAAATGTTGGGAAGATGCAGGGACTGCTACGGAAACAAGCTTCGATTGGATCTGTCGAATCGAAAGGGGGGAGTTCGTCTACTGTCTCGGATTTGGAGAGTAAAACTCTACAAGGTACTATGATTATTCGAGTTCTTATCGCATTTTCCGAGTTCTTAGAATAATTAAAATGATCGTCGATTGTTGAGATTCGGAACTTATGTCGATTATTGGATTATATTCAACCTTGCTTTTTAGGTTTTTAGTAAATATTAATCATGATTAGTATGTAATGAGTATTGTCAAATCTATCTGCAATTCACATTAGCTTCTAGAAGCATAGGAGAAGTAACTTAAACAGTAGCAGTTGGCCAAGTAGAAGAAAAGTTTTATATGTCCGTCTCTCGTAATTATCCACGCGTAAAGCTAAGAGAAGAAATTAGGTTAGGGTGTGAAAGATTTTGGCGAAAAACTAGGGCATTAATTGAGTAGCTGCTTTCTAACTCAAGAAGTGTTTATGTCGACTCTCTATTTGAATTATACATACATGGCACGTATAAAAATTTTCAGGATCGAGTGGCGAAGTGAGCCCCGCGAGCATCCAATCCATGCAAGAATCGGCCAATCTGGACACTCGATCCTCGACAACAAATGCAAGAGGGAATACGAGTAAAGCGGCGGGGCCCGACAAAGATAGTAGTACCCCAAAGAAGCCGGAAGCTTCTAGAACACGAGGGAAAGAAATCGGAACGAACTCATTGGAGGAGATGCCATGTGTCTTCACGAAAGGAGACGGACCCAATGGGAGAAGGGTGGAGGGTATACTGTACAGATACGGTAAAGGTGAAGAAGTGAGAATAATGTGCGTTTGCCACGGAAGCTTCCATTCGCCCGCCGAGTTTGTGAGGCACGCAGGTGGGACCGACGTGGATAATCCGCTCAAGCATATTGTTGTGAACCCTAACTCTTCTTCCATGGTGTAAGTGCATGAAGAAAGATGAAGTGGGATGAAATTAATGAGAGTTACTTTTTTTTTTTTTCTTTACGAAACTTATTTATGCTCGTGTTTTCACGAGGGTTATTTTAGAAGGTTAAGCAATTAATTAATAGTTTTTTTTTAAAATGAATTTTTAAGATTGCATTGATTAACTTGTGGAGGATCGAGTTTTTTAGGCCGGGAATTTGTTCGTTGAGCAGAATATAGCTTATATAGACATATTATTGCTGGTTTAATTGTTCTGAGATATCGATGATGCTCGAAAATTTGTCCCGAAGACTCGGTAATGGTTTTTAGTATATTAACTCGAGTTCTTAGTCATGATGCGAGTTTTATTAGCTCAATATTGTGTTCCTTGCGCTTGAATGTGTGCAAGTGGAGAAGGAACTCATTTTGTTTATATTGATTGATTGAATCATAACAAATTTGAGCTTTACATAATTGTGAAATTCTTAAATCAAGTAATATGTTTTTTTTAAGTTTTCGAGTCTACTATTGCGTCGAAATATGCAGATTTCACGTCTTCATCAAAAAGCGTTTTAAGACCTGAAATTCATAACAAATTTGAACTCAAGGTGTTATATATTAGAGACTAAACTTCAACCTCTTAAATTAAATTTTAGAGAAGGATTAAACGATTAGTCTTTCATCCATGGCAATTTATGTTGAAATAGAAAAAAATGTTTCAATAAGATGTAAGTTTGGTAATCTTGACTGTAGAAAATAAATAATAAAAAATTAAAATACAAATTCGACTCTGCTGGGGATCGAACCCAGAGTCTCTGGTTTCGTAGACCAGCGCCTTATCCATTGGGCCACAGAGTCAACTTGTTTAAGTAATCCTGCATAACCTTAATACCGATTATATCGTCAAAAGAGTCAATCAATTATTAAAAAAATTAACGACTCTGCTGGGGATCGAACCCAGAATCTCTGGTTTCGTAGACCAGCGCCTTATCCATTGGGCCACAGAGTCAATTTGTTATCTGATTCGAAAATCTTTTAATAACTTTCTTACTCAAAAGTATTGCCTAAAAAAAAATAACAACAGGGCCCTACCGGGTTCGAACCGGTGACCTCTTGATCTGCAGTCAAATGCTCTACCACTGAGCTAAGGACCCTAACTGTTCATTGATTTCGTAACAATTTATTTAATTATGTATTATTCTTCGAAAATATGACTTTGAGAATAATTGGCAAAGGAATTTAATCACTCACTATACTCATCGGAGATATCCATTCTCAAATTATGTTGGCAAATTCTGAGCCTGTTTAGAATTCACAACAGGGGTTGGTGAAGAAGGCAATCGAGCAATAAGGGGCACAACAATTGCTAGTGAGATCAAATTATTCGACCAAAATTGGTAAACATTATACTCACTACGACAACTATACTTGGTGTTCGTAAAAAAATTGTTTTAAAACTTAAATTGTATACAAGTGATCCACAGTATATATTGAATACAATAAATACTATAATTTCATGATATGGTGTGTTTGAAGTCGCAATATTTATGTTATGCAGAATTAGAAGTATTTATTTTGTGCAGAAATTCTATAATAATTATGAATAAAATGCGCTAAAAAGTTATTGAAATTGTATACACATGAAGTCGATTTTTTTTCGTTGGGAATTTCGGAACTACATATGGTACATATTATTTATTACAATTTTAAGTATTCTGATTGTGTGTTGATACAAATAGTTATCATATTTCAAATATATTTATTATTGAATTTCCTATTTAGTTGTTACCATATTTTTTTAGATATATATATTTCATTCATTATAATATTTAACATAATAAATATTATAATTTTAAAAACAATGAATAATGTTATTTCATTATGTTTAACACATTTTTTTTAAGTTTTCATGTCTATTATTGATTGCATACAAGCAATGAATAATGTGCAAATGTATGCGCTATCAAACACCATTTTGATAACTAAGTTTCACGTTTCGAGTGCATTGCACGTGATAGTTGGTAGCGTTTTGATCGTCTAACGTGTCACTTTTTTATCGATTCTTTTATTTTGTTCGTGCACTAATTAAATCAAACCGAATTAATGGAAGTTATTTTTATTTTTCGGAAACAAATAAAAGAAACTATTTTTAGAACATAAATAAATTCAAATGCAACAGTTTCTTGAATACAAAATTGTCATCCTCAAAATGATGGATGATACTAAAAAAGATTCCAAAACTGTAGTTCACTTTATTACAACAATCAATACCTCAAAAAAAAAAAAAAAAATCTTTTAATTTCCTCACATCTTATGAGGTGCAGGCACTAATGAAGCTGTTCGAGCCGCTGCACAATCTGATCCATCGTCGGCCTCGCATCGAGCACAACGACGGTGCACAATAGCGCCACATGCAGTATCTTTACGAGCTTGTCCTGCGGGCCCGATTCCCACAAGCCCTGGAAGAAAATATCCTCGGGCCGATCCTCCTTGAGCAGCAATCCCGCCCACGAAACGATGTTGAACCCGTCCTCGTGCATATAAAACGACGGATCCAAAGCCCGTTTATCCGACATCAGCTCCAGCAACACCACGCCGTAGCTATAAACATCCGCCTTGTTCGTTATCCTCCCGGTCAGCGCATACTCGGGCGCGATATACCCATAAGTCCCCGCCACACGGGTAGTCGCATGCGTCGCATTGGTCGGAAGGCTCCTCGACAAGCCGAAATCCGACAGGTAGGCGTTGTTATCATTATCCAATAAGATATTGCTCGGCTTGATATCTCGGTGGAGAACACTAGGGCTACAGTGTTCGTGCAGGTAGGAGATCGCGTACGCTACGTGGAGGGCTATCTTGTGGAGCACGCTCCAGTCGAACGCCCGCCTCGCGCGATCTCTTATGAACCGGTCCAAATTACCCCCGGGGAGGTAATTGTAGATAAGGAACATTTCATCTCGGTTCGCGTAGTAGCCGATTAGGGTTATGAGGTGTGGGTGTTTAATTCTTCCGAGGATGCTGACCTCGGCGATAAACTGTGGGGCCCCCTGGTTGCGTTGGGCGGTGAGTTTCTTGACGGCGACTGTGGTCCCCGGCGCGATGTCGGCGCGGTAGATCGATCCGAACCCTCCGTTCCCGATGCAGTTCCTACGGTGGAAGTTCTGTGTGGCTTGAATGATGATGTCGTACGTTAGAGGTACGCCGATGTCGTTGAAAAGTGTGACTCGCTTCGTGCGCTGAGGTGGTGGCGCGGAGGATTCTGAAGCGGCTGTTGTCGTCGTCGGCGTTTTCTTGCAAAAACAGAACACGGCTAGGAAACCTAGGAGGATTGACAGGGCGGAGAATATGGTAATTGCGCACCCCGCTATGAGGAAGTACATCGCTCGGGTTCGGCCGCTGGAGTTTGATTGTGCAGGTTTTGATCGGTTATGGTGCGGTTTTTTCGGTTTTTTGTCACCGTTTTGGTGCTGATGTGGCTCTTCTTCTTGTTGTTGTGAGAAGAACGACACGTAAGACGAAGATGGTGTAGCGCGTGAAGAGGCAAGCTCGTTTTGCGCTTGGTGGCAGATATTTGTGTCATTGAAGTTTTGGATTGGCTTCGATAACAAGTTCCCGCTAATATCGAACGTTTCCATGCACGGAAAATGAAGATTTTCGTCCGACTGTCGGCTCAACCGGTTGTAGCTTAGGTTAAGATATCGGAGATTATTGCATCTCGTAAATGCATCGAAGATATCACCGGTAAATGAGTTGTGAGCTAAGTTCACCATTGTTAAGCTCTCACATTTTCCCCAATTGCTCGGGAATTTGCCTCCGAAACCGGCAAGTGGGGCCCACACAATCTCCAATATCGGAAGCTTCGTGATCTCTTCCGGAATGGAACCCTCGAACGAATTCGACTCATTCAATGCTGCGACGGAATATCCTCCACGTGGACCACGAAAGTGGACCCCACTCGAGAGGACAAGAACCGACAAATTCTCGCACTTGCCTAGATTCGGTGGGAGGGCCCCACGTAAGCCGTTTCTAGAAACATCCAACACTTCGAGGCTTCGGATCTCTCCAATCTCGTTAGGGATAGCACCGCGCAATAAATTCGAAGACAACAAAAGTGTCCTCAAACGTGTGCAATTCCCCAAAGCGCGCGGAATTTCCCCGCGTAACAAATTAACCGATAAATCCAAATGCTCGAGATTCCCACAATCGAATCCCAACGAACTCGGAAAAGATCCGACCAACCGATTAAACGACAAATTCAACACGCTTAGATTCCTCAAACCGCCAATGAATTCGGGAATGACGTCACCGATCTCATTTCCCGCTAAATTCAAAACCCTCAAGCCATTGCATTCGGACAACGAACGTGGAAACGGACCGGAGATTCCGTTGAATGCTAAATTAAGAACACTCAATTTTTTCATACCGGAGAATCGGTAACCGGAGAAATCTCCGGCGAAGTCGTTTCCTTCGAGATCGATCGCTTCGAGATTTTTCAATTGCCAAATCTCGACGGGAATCTCTCCGGCGAGGTTGTTGTACGGGAGCGAGAGAATCCTGAGGTGTGTGAGATTCCCCACAGCAGACGAGAGCCTGCCGCCGCTTAATTGTTTTGGCTCGGAGCAGTTTCTTTCGATACCGAAAGCATGCAACGAGAACTCGGATTTTTTCGATGAGCAAGAAGGGGAGAGAGAGAAGTTACCTCCGATCTTCAGACAAGAAACCCTGTTGTCTGAATCACAGGAAACACCGTACCAGGAGCAGTGGTGGTCGGAGGCGGCGGCGGCGTTCCAGGTGGCGAGGATTCCATGTGGGTCGGAAAGTGATTTCTTGATCTCCAAAAGGGCCGCCTTTTCGTCGGAAAATTGACCGGAGACCGATGAGAGAATGCAGAAGAAAACAAGAAACGAAAGCAAATCCATTCTTTCTTAATCTTTTTTACAGACCAAGAAACACGAAACCCTGAAACTATAAAATAAATAAATAAATAAATTTATATATATAAATTATTAAAACAAAAAAATAATTCCTAGTTCTTCTTCATGATGAATCTTGAAAAAAGAAAGCAAAACGAAGAAGATAAAGAAAAGCAAAATCAAGAATTCTTTAATCTCAAACAATCAAGAATGCTTTTTTATTATTTTTTTTTTATCAACAATTATTAGAAATGAATAAATAAAAATAGATAAAGATTTGTTGTTCTTACGAATTAAGCAGAAGAAAAAGCTCTGTGCGTTTGTTCTTCGTCTGCAGATATTTTTTTTTATTTCCTTTCTGGGCTTACTGCTGCACTGCTGTATCAGTATGAGTATGAATTCTGCGAAAACAATCTTCTCCGCAGGCGCATTTTAACGTGAGGAGCGTGGGTCCCACAATGGCGAAATCAGCACGACAAACAGGCGGGCATTTGTTGGAATCGGAACGGGGTTTTTTATTTTAGAAGTCATCCCGTCTGTCGGGTCCACGTGGCACGACAAAGATACTGTCCACGTGGACCAATTGCCCCGGGTGTAACGGCTGATTTAGGTTTCAAATTGGGGGGATCCCACTCCCGAACGACGCCGTTTTAGGAACTGGGATATTAGCAATGTTTGAAGGATGGTGTAATTCAAATCTTGCGATGGATTCATAACAAAAAAAAAAAAAAAAAAAATTTGTGGAGATTGTGGTTTGATTATTACAGAGATTTCATTTTTTTAATGGAAGGTGAAATCATTGCAGCATTTATTTTTATTTTATTTTTCTTTTTTGATTTTCGAAATTTGACTACATTTGATTGCAAATATTTTAAAGATGAAATATTTACATAGATGATTATGATTATCCCAAGATTTAAAATTTTCAAGAATTGCATTTTGTTTGGATGACGATGATATTATAGTTTGTTCGAATTTTTTTTTAATTCACAAATTTGTTCCGGTTGAACCGGAAATTTCAGAAAATCGAAAATTTGAATACAAACATTCGCAATTGGAATAGTTTTCAGAAATTTAATTTGAAATTTACGTAATTTAATTGAAATTTTCGAGAATTTAAAAAACACCATAAATCAATTCTATCTTTGTTTAATGAGTTAAATAAAAATTAATATAGTCTCATTTATTACAATATATAGTATGTAACTAATTTTTACATACATAATATAAGATAATTATTTAGTAATTTATTTCGGAAATAATCAACTAATTAGAATATTCTTTGATATATAATTCCAATTTCAGTCCAAAAAATTGAAAAAATCGGATACCAAAATGAAAATATTTGTTTCAAACAGAAAATGATGGATCGAGATCGGCAGAATTCGTTATATCCAATAGTATTCGGTGTAATTCATGGAGATTAACTTAGACCATACGGTATTTCATGTAATCAATTGTGATTCACATGTTTATTGTTGTCATGATTACAATACTCTAATATGGGAATCAACTAACCTACAATGATTTAGATAATAGTTTCATGTAAGTAAACATGTGAATCCAGGGCATGAAAAAAGCATGTTGAATCACATTGCTATTTATTACTTGCTATGTAGGGCTGAAAGTCGGAAGGATCGGATCGGAATTAGCCTTTTCGGAATATTTCCAAAAAATTTCGGAAGTACAAAATCAATTCCAATTCCAATTCCAAAATTTTCGGAATCTAAAAATTCATTCCAATTCCAAAAGGCCCGGAAATTTCGGAATTTCGGAAAATTTTCGGAAATGACATAAGTATTAAAATTTCGAAACTTCGCTGAAAATTTCATAATTTGCTAAAAATAAAAATCATGACTCTTTAACTTTGCACAAAAAATAATAAACGTAAAACTAGGGTTTTACATAAAATAAACTAGGGCTTTTTTAGGTGACATGGCCCATAAAGAATAAATACAACTAAATAATGTAAAATAAGTATAATATATATATATATATATATATATATATATATATATATATATATATATATATATATATATATATATTACTCAAAGATGTATTTTTTGGAAAAAAATCGGATTTTTTTCGGAATTAATTTCGGAAATAATCGGATCGGAAATTGGAAATTCCAATTTTTTTTTATATAATTCCAATTCCAATCCAAAAAAATCGGAAAAAATCGGAAATCGGAATTTCGGAAATCGGAATGAAAAAAGTTGTTCCAAAATCGGAAATTTTCGGATCGGAACCGGCGGAAATCGGAATTTCCGTTCCAACTTGCACCCCTATTGCTATGCAACAATATTTAGGTGTTGTTTGCAATTGAATTTTTTTTTTTTTTTTTGCAAAAATAAAAGGTTGTTGCAGTTAAATTATTAAAAAAAACATTACACAGCCCACGGTGAGGATCGAACTCACGACCTTTCGCTTACGAAGCGAACGCAATACCACTATGCTACGGAGGCAATGTTGATGACAAACCTTAGCCTTATATATATGTTTTTATGTATGGAAATATTGAGAATTCCAATCCCTTTAATCTTTTCATTCTTTTGTGCTATTAATTGTCATTCATAACATTTTATATTTTGGAAAAAACCTTTTCCATGAAAACAGTGACCGAAAGAGATGTATATAATTTCTAATGGGAGCATTTTGGCCATTAAACTTTTTAGTTTTATTTATCCTGATTTCTTCTATAATTATTAATTATCATTTGCAATTTATTTTGTGATTAATATTTGTTTGAAATGCTAATTATTTCTTACGAATAGCAGATAAATGGCAATATAACAACACTCAGGTGATCTCATTAATTTATGATTTTTGTTTAGTATATACTTTTTGTTGGGATTTGTTAGGAAAATTGATTCTATTTTGGTAATTGAAATTTCACAACTAATAATTTCAAAATTGCATAATTAATTTTTGTATGCAATTTAAGTCTCGTATATTTAAATTTTCTTCATTTTTGCAACGGTGCACTAAAATTTAGAACGGGTTCAGATATAAAAGTGAAAAAGGCATGAATTAAAATCATGGCCTACTCTCTCAAAAAAGGGAAAGAAAAAAAAAAGGAAAAAAAATTAAAAAATCAGGGCCTAAGGAGAGAAGCAAACACTGCACGAACAGTATAATTAAGAATATATTTCTATCATGTAAGAAGTGAAATCTGTGCATACTCAATTCCCAACTGTCATCAAAAAATTATCATGATGGAATTGCTCTAAAAAATATATTATATCGAGCTCCATTTTCGAATCCGCATGAAATCGTTTTATCATCAGCACAAGGAGCAGGAACAGCAAGAACACGAACGAAAAACGCAATTAGGGCAGTGCCGTTTGGAGGAGGGCGTTGACTTTGGTGGTATAGGGCATACTTTATTCGAACTCTTTATCCCACCATCCGTCAATCTGCACAAGTTACTACAGTTTCAACACGACGGTCGTAAAATCAAGAATACCAGGAAAACAAACAAAATATACAAACAACATATTACGATGCTGTACAAGGAGAGAGAAACCGTACACATAAGAGGAATCATAACACGATTTTTTCTCCGACTGATGTTTCCAACACAAGCATGAAGGGCACTTACAGCTATTCCACGAAGAGCAGCTACAACTCGGGCGGCACGAGGGGCATTTTCGGCAACAGCTCCAAATTGACAGAAATTTGCAACGACAGCGCGGCCATTTACAGCGGCAACAACCTTTGCAGCTCAAGCAGTTCCTAAAGCACCTTGGCCAGACCAAGCATTTGAACGAGCAAACTGAACATTTGCAACTAAAGCAACTCGGGCATCCACACTGTGGACACCACGAAGATTCCTTCTTTCTGGAACACCACAAAACGATATATTATATTATATGGGAGGTGGTACATGTCGTTTCAATTATACTAATTTGGCCATTTCCTAGATGAATTTGGCAAAACTCGAACCACAGAAATTGTAGTCCGCTGAGTTAGCTTTCTAATCTAACTTGAATCGGCAAGATTAGATGTCGGGTGAGAAAGATATGCATGAATGAATGAATGAACAATGCCTACAACTTTTGATGTTTTGAGTTATCTAAATTTGAAATGTAACTGATTTGTGCATAACTTTGTCACCCGGCATCGAATCCAACTGATTCAAGTTGGATTGAAAGATCAAACTCAAAGGACTACAGGTTCCGTGTTTTGTATCTTGCCATAATCAGACTTGAAAAGGGTCAAAGTTACGTTTGAAGTCGAAACGGTGTTAGTAAAATTTGAAATGACATTTAGCATTTCAGTATATGAAATTACATTCCTCGTTAAAATGTTTAGGGAAATAAACATACGAAATTGGACAGTAGACACTCACATTGGCAAAGCGAAAGACGGAATACTAGTTTCACTTTTATCCGAACGAAAGTTGGCACTACGAGAATCCCCCGAATATTCTGTATGCGCCTCAACTTGACTGTTACCCACAGTAGCCTTTGGAACATCGTAGGTTGGTTCGTCTATCCTTGCCGTTTCTCCGGGACCCACATCCACATCAATACTCTTCACCACATCCAAATTCTTGTTCGGTTTGACAACCCCTTTTCTAGTAGGAGACGTTTGTTTCACCTTAACTAACTCGCTCGATCTTTTTGTATCACAATTTGTTAAAACCTCTGTCGATTGGAACAACTCTTGCGACTGGAATAATTCCCAAGGCTTGTAAGATTCCTCCGTTTGACACAACTCTTCCGACTTCGAAAGTTCTCCCGATTTTTGTAGTTCACCCGATCTATACAAGTCTACACCGATTCTTGAAACATGGTCTCTCGAAAAACTATTGTTCCCGATATGAATGCTGAATAAAGAATCGTTGGAGGCGACACTCCACTCCGTTGGAGTAGAGGGTCTGCTGAAAATCGAAGAGGGGATTCTATTAGGATCGAAATCTCCAGGCCTTTCCATCACTTGTACCATAGGTGACAGAGTTGGTGACATGTGCGGCACTAAAGATTCGTACGTGACGTCAGAGAATTGTGAGGTGGATTCCGGGGAGCCGTGTACGGATTCTTCCAGCCTGTAAAGGGCTTCGTTCGAGACATCGAATTTTTCATTTTTGTACTTGGTGCCTGCGTTAGGTTTGGGAATGTCGTTTTTGACTCTGAATTTGGGGAGGGTCTGAGGGTTGAAGAAATTGTCGGAGGAGGAATCGGATGAGGAGGAAGAGACTGTATCAGAAGAATCGGAGCTTTTGAGTGTGGTTCGATTTTGATTAGTATCTGTGTCTTGTCTGCTACTGCTTGCCTGGTCCGAAATAACATTTGAGGCCAGATGTGTAAATCCCGCACGGTTGTTGTTAGAAGCAGTAGTGTTTGTACCTCCATAGTCCATAACTGAAGCAGTAAACATTTAATGAGATAAATATGGAGCAAATGATAATATTACGACCCCACATATGAGATTTTACGACCAGAGTAAATATAGGAGTTTCGCGAGAAAATGAGATGCCACAAATCAATTTGACTAATGAACGAAAAATATTCGGAAAATTCAAGAAATACGAGCATTTAGAGTAGCTCAGGTAATGATTAAGTTCTATAAAGAGAAAGTAAACTATTTCGTTAAACCACGGTTACTGATTACTATTCGACATATTACCCACAATTAAGATTATTAAGTGAATTCACTTTCTTTACCCAAACAAACATACATATATAAGGAT